ACATGTTGCAGCAAAAAAGGGAGAAAAAAATAGCTCAAAGATGAGATGGTAAAACAACAGAATATTGTAAAAAGAGGGATAGAAGTTAAGGAAACAAATTAAGGGCCAAAGTAATACCACTGAAGAACCATTAAATAAACAGAAACTACTCATAGTAGACATTTGTTTAAAATTGAATTATTAGCTCCAACAATAGTCTTCAGCTTTGCTTTTTAACAGATGGAAAAATTTTTAAACATTCAAGTAAATATAGAGAAGATAACAAAAATGGAAAACAGACAAAACCAAGTCGACCCTAAGCTAACAGATGTCCCTGAAGTGGCAAACCCAATAAATCAAATGGAAACATCAGAAAAAGCTCTAAAAGAAAAAAAAATCTCCCTGAAGTGATTAAATATGCAGATTAAAGGAGCACACAAAATTGCAAAATTTAGATATATTCTGGTTGCAATCGAACTTTAAACAATTATTCAAGAATATAAGCAAGAAAAACAAGCTGGAACTACAGGCACACACCATCTACACCCAGCTAGGATTTTTTTTTTTCTTTTGTCAGCCGCACTGGCTGCAAATCCTCCTTGGACTTGTTCCATTTCAGAAGTAGTGGAACATGCCTGTAAAGACACATTGTCATTCATTGATAAGGGTAACAAGGAAACATCTCAAAAAAGAAATAGGCAGACAAACTCAGGGAAAATAACACATATCAACCTTTCTTGGGAAAAAAAAAAACATCCAACAACGACTAAAACCAACAAGAAGATAAATGGAAAAGCTGTGGAAAAAAAGACCAAGTTCAGTGTCTTCTGTCAAAAGACAATAGAGTAATAGCTACCAAATTCTGAGAAATAGAAAGTGTGACTCACGACTTTTATATTTAGCCAGGCTAATTTGCAAGATAACCAAAGGACATTCTCAGGACTACACATATTCAAGGACTACAACCACTATAAGCTCTTCTTTGTGTGTATGTGGGGAGTAGGGGGGGTGGAGATAGGTGTGTGGGTTACATGTTGATTAAATCTATACAAACCAGAGAGAAATTAAAGAAAAAAACTCAAGAATGGAGAAGACATGATAAAATCCTGGTGTAGAACACTGAATCCGTTCAAATACAGAATAAAGATTAACCAACTGTGGAAATTATGGTTGCAAGACAGGATGTGTCTATTAAAAATCCTAACCACATAAAAAAGAAATGAACATCCTAAACTCATTAGAGGATAGGGGAGTTGGAGAATGTTCGCTGTGCCAATGTCCTCAGCTTTCCTACAAATGCATAAAACACGCTCTCTGAAAGTATAACATGAAACTGGGCAGTGGCTTACACATGTAATTTCAGCTCTTGAAGCCAAGGTGGGAGGATTGCTTGAGCCCAGGAGTTCAAGACCAGCCTGGGTAACATAACGAGACCTCTTCTCTACAAAAAATTTTTAAAATGAGCCGAGCGTGGTGAAGTGCACCTGTAGTCCCGCTACTTGGGAGGCTGAAGCAAGAGGAATGCCTGAACCCAGGAGGTCAAGGCTACAGTGAGCCATGATCATGTCACTGTACGTCAGCCTGGATGACAGAGTAAGACTCCAACTCTAAATAAATAAAGTTGGGTTTTTTTTTATTTAAACTTTTTTCGAAAAGCACAACGTGAAAGTAGAAACAGACACATGAATAAACACTCATAATGCTTATTATAATTTTTTTCTTAATTTTAGGAGTATCTTTCAAGAACTAATATTCCTGGTCATAAATGTTTATTTTAAATGCACCAATTCCTTCAATTTCACTTTCAATACAGTTTAACCTTAGTTCCTTTTTTTTTTTCTTTTTTTTGGTCAAATTGAAAGAGGATTGAATTTAATAGTGTTATCTAATAAAAGCACATCCATAATGAGCCCATTTGTGCCCAGTAAGCCTTTTTTTCTGTATGTGCCTAAGAGGTGGTCTGAGCAATGCCTGCTTTTAGCAAGGGCTCATGGTAGAACTTGTAGCAATTTGGTACTTTTTTTGCTTTTTTCTCCCGTTATCTTCCTCCTCCTCCTCCTCCTTCTTCTCCCCTCCAACTTCTTCCAGTGAAACTGCATTCTCTTTACGATATTCTAAAAAATAAAAACAAGCAGGGGAAAAAAAAGGGTTCAAATCACAGAATCTGCGCCATGACACAGCTGCTTATGAGCCCGTAGACAGGACCTTAACAATTCTTAGTTACATAACGACTTGCAGATGGAAAACACCAGTTGCAGAGAAAATGCCAGGTGAGCAAATGGTCACAAAGATGATAATGGATGAGGAACTGAGAGGACAGCTTGAAGAAGTACTGCCAGCCTCAGGCTGGGAGTCAGAAGAGCTGAGATCTTGTTCTGGTTTAGACACTCATTCTTGGTCTTTCGCTGAAGCATTGAATCTTGCTGAGCACTGGGTCCAGTCCTGCAATATTTTCCCATTTTTTTTCCTGAAGAACTGGGAATATATATATTTTAGGTGAAATATCGTGATACTGAAACACTGACAACTAACCCGAAATATTTTAAACTTACCAGTTGGTGGTCTTCACTTTTCACACACCCCATCAGTGGGCCATGTTGATCCTCATGAAAGCTGTTGAGTCAGACAAGACAAGATCAGGTGCGTCAGGGCGGTATGGGCGTAGTCAGGCGTGGTGGCTCACGCTTGTAATACCAGCACTTTGAGAGGTGGAGGTGAGAGGACTGACTGCCTGAGCCCAGGGGCTCAAGACCAGCCTGGGCAACTTGGCAAGATCTTGTCTCTACAATAAATTAAAAAATTAGCTGGGGGTGGTGGCGCACATCTGTAGTTCCTGCTAACTGGAAGGCTAGGTGGTAGGATCGCCTGAGCCCAGCAGGTTGAAGTTGCAGTGACTGTGAGTATGCCACTGTACTCCAGTCTGGGTGACAGAGTGAGACTCCCACAAAAAAAAATTAGAAAAAGAGAAAGACACGAAGAGAAAGAAAGGAAGAGAGGAAGGAAGGAAGGAAGGAAGGAAGGAAGGAAGGAAGGAAGGAAGGAAGGAAGGAAGGAAAGAAGGAAGGAAGGAAGGAAGCTGTTGAGTCACTAACGTCCAATTGTGCACGTTTATTTCAACTATGTTGAATTTCAAGCTATCCCACTGATAGCTTGAAATCAGCTATGGTAGCCGTATTGACACCATGGAAATCAGTAAATGCTACGATTCAGCCCTCAGCCCTGCCCCTGCTATCCCTCCCCACACACACACACTGAAACTGGTTATAAAACATTTACCAGAATGCCATTGTAGCTATCTGTCCCAGCTGATTCTAGAGTTCTGGTATTAAAGATCAGAACTGGAAGAGATTGTGCAAGAAATGGAAACTCAGTCTTACTAACTAAGGCTAAAAAAAGGAAATTTCATTGAAAACATGAATGAGGCCAGGTGCAGTGGCTCATGCCTATAATCCCAGACCTTTGGGAGACTGATAGGAGAGGATCACTTGAGGCCAGGAGCTCTAGACCAACCTGGGCCACATAGTGACATTTTGTCTCTACAAAAAAAAAAAAAAAATTTTTAAATTAGCCAGGCATAGTGGTGTGTTACAATCCCAGCTACTTGGGAGGCCAAGGCAGGAGGATATCTTCAGTCCCAGAAGCTGAGGTTACTGTGAGCCATGATCTACCACTGCATTCCAGTCTAGGCAACAGAGTGAGACTCTGACTCAAAAGGAAAGAAGAAGAAGAAAGGAAGGTAAGAGAAAGAAAGAAAGAAAGAAAGAAAGAAAGACAGAAAGACAGAAAGACAGAAAGAAAGAAAGAAAGAAAGAAAGACAGAAAGACAGAAAGACAGACAGAAAGAAAGAAAGAAAGAAAGAAAGAAAGAAAGAAAGAAAGAAAGAAAGAAAGAAAGAAAAGAAAGAAGGAAGAAAACCAAAGGAAGAAAAAGGCTGTTAATAACGGTGACAAGGACAGCTCATTCATTGGCTTTATTCATTAGACAAAGATTTCCAGAGCTCCTTACTATGTCCCAAGCATATTAGATAGTGGGCACGGGGTGATGTGGAAGGCAGGCACCATCCTTACCCTGATGGAGTTTCTAGTTTAGTGGGGGAAACAGGCCAAAGGTGCAAAGGCCTAGAGAGGCAGGAAGGGGACTTAAGTTTGTGAAATGACATGAATGGATGGGACCTGTGACAAGCCAAAAAGAGGATGTACTGATGAAAGTTCTTCAAGCTTAATTAAAAAGAAAATGCTGGGAGGGCCATGGAACGTATCTGTAGGCACACGTCCTCCGCGTCACCTGAGAAACCTCTGCATTAAATGAATAATCGCACAAACAATTATGCAAGTGGAGATAAGGACTAGGGAAAAAAAGTCCACAATGCCAGGAAGATGTGTAATAATGACTTCTGACTATAATTCCTGAGGAGATTACATTTTATCAGAGACCTGACAGATTAATAAGAGTTAGTTAGGCAGGAGAGATTGGGGGAAAGGTGAGTGGAACAGGTAAGTGTAACAGCAGAGGGCACAGGACATCTGAAGCTTTGGTGTGACTGGAGCCCAGGAGGTGAGGGGGAAAAATAGTAAGAGACAAGCGAGAAGTTCAGGGTTCAGATGTTGCAAGATGGAATAGACTGTGTTGAGAATTTTGAACTTATTCTTGAACTAATGGGAACTCATTAAAGGATTTTAAACAAGGATCATTTTTGAGTTGGAGTCTCACTTTGTCACCCAGGCCGCATACAATGGAATGATCATGGCTACCGTAACCTCGACTTCCCGGGTTCAGGCAATCTTTCCGCCTCAGCCTCCCAAATAGCTGGAACCACAGGCATAAGCCCCCACTCCCGGCTAATTTTTTAATTTACTGTAGAGACGAAGTCTCGCCAAGTTGCCCAAGCTGGTCTTGAATCCCTGGGCCTCAAACCCAATCCACTCACCTCGGCCTCCCAAAGTGCTGGGATTCACGGGTGTGAGCTAACATGCCAACGGCTTGTATGTATATTTATTTATTTTATTTTATTTTATTTTTTAACAATCCCACAGCATTTATTGTCATCTTGTAATAACATAAGGGTAATCAAAACAATATGAACAAATGTTTTTGAACTATACTCAAAACAAAGGACACCTTAAAAAAAAAAAAAACTATATTGCACTCTCAACAATTTCTCACTTCATTGATCATTTCTAGTTGGAGACACTTTGCAGCAGGGTAATATTATCTCCTTTTAGCATGATCCGACCCAGTTGTTTTCTTGACTTTGTTTTAGAATGAATCTCTTCTGCATCATCTAATATAAGGTTCATATACTCATCAAAGCCAATGATACAGCCCTCTACCCGCATATTCACTTGCTCATAAAGCCACACCTGAATCCGGGATCTGTTTTGCAAGTATCTGAAGATGAGGTTGACGGGCTGCACCATGATCTTCTGCACTTTCTGGCCCTGGCCACGGTAAGCCATGGTGGAATAATCTCACAAAGAGCACACGCGCACACTCCCTCAGAAAGCAACTTCCGGAATAAAGAACCGGAAACTGTATGTATATTTAAAAGAAGATTCTGGGCCGGGCTCAGAGGCTGAGCCTGTCATCTCAGCACGTTGGGAGGCCGAGGCAAATGGATTGCCTGAGCCGCGGGTTCAAGACCAGCCCGGGCAAGTTGATGAGACCTGGTCTCTACAATAAATTTTAAAAATTAGCTGGGCATGGTAGCAAGTAGTTCCAGCTACTTGGAAGGCTGAGGCAGAAGGATCGCCTGAGCCCAGCAGGTCAACACTGGGGTGGCCGTGAGTATGCCACTGCATTCCAGCCTGGGCAATGGAGTGAGACTCCAACTCAAAAAAATATATATATTCTGGTTGGAGTGTAGGGAAATGATAGGAGAAAGAGGATAAGACAGGATGTGGTGAGACCAGTTAGGAGGCTGTTGCAGGAGTTCCAGTGAGATGGGTTAGACTTGGACCAGGTGTTTAGCATTTAAAATGAAAGATATTTGATCATTTGGGATTTGGAGTAATTGTAACCAAAAACTCCATCTTACAGTGGTTTATTGAATAGTCCTCACGCACATAATTGAAGTCTGCACATAATCAGCCTCTAATTACATTGGTGACTCCAAAATTTCTTTTTATTTTATTTTATTTTTTTAGAGATGAGGTCTTGCCAAGTTGCCCAGGATGGTCTCAAATCCGTGAGCTCAAGCAATCCTCTCACCTCGGCCTCCCAAAGTACTGGGATTATAGGCGTGAGCCACCACGTCCAGCCGCAACTCCACAATTTCTAGGGACCAGATTCCTCGCCTCGCAACATGTGACTTCCACCTCCTGGTCCCAGTGGCTGCTCGCATTCCAGGCATGTTGTTTTCATTCCAGCCAACATGAATGAGGAAAGAAAGTGAACTCCAAGACAGGGCGACTCCTTTTAAGGGCATTTTTCGAAATTATATGTGACGCTTTTCGTTCCAGCTTCTTGCACAGCACTTGGTCACAAGGCCCCATTTGATTCCAAGGAAAGACAGGAAACAAAACGGCAGCTCTAAGAGGTCACTACAGGTCGAACTGAAAATCAGAAGTTCTACAACTAAGAATGAAAAAGACAACAAACATTGAGCAACAGGCAGCATCTTCTGCAACAGAAATAGACAAAGTTGAGTTAAGTTTTGGAGGTGGAATTAACAGGATTTGATGGCTGATGGAATGGGAGAGGGGGATATGGGGAAAAGAAAGAAAAAACCGATTTCCTCTTTTCTATCACAGTCAACTGAATAAGTGATAATGTTTTCATGGAAATGGAGAAATCAAAGGAGAGGCGGATTTGGGGCAAATCACAAGAAATAGATGCTGGGAGTGTCCACTCAGCCCTCAAAATGAAAAGGGAAACAACTTATCAGCTCCCTTGTATACCCTTCTAAAGGTGTTCTGTGCCCATGGAGGCATGTGTGTATGTGTGTGTGAATTTGTGTATGATCCGTGTGTTTATACACATGTAGACTCGTACACTTTTTTTTTTACAAAAATGATAGTGTACAATTACACCATTAAATACTTTGAATTTTTTGCTTTGTATGCCAGCAACAAATATATAATTATTTTTAGCATTCATCTTTTAAATCATGGAGGAAATAAAAAATGGAGTTACAAATAAATTACATTACTATTTTCTTTTTTTTTTTTTTTAGTTGGAGTCTCACTCTGCTGCCCAGACTGGAATGCAGTGGCACGCTCATGACCACCACAACCTTGACCTCCTGGGCTCAGGCGATCCTTCCGCCTCAGCCTTCCAAGTAGCTGGCACTACTGGTGTGCGCCACCATGCCCGAGTCATTTTTTGATTTATTGTAGAAACGAGATCCTGCCAAGTTGCCCAGGCTGGTTTTGAACCTCTGGGCTCAGGCAATCCTCTCACCTCTGCCTCCCAAAGTGCTGGGATTACAGGCATGAACCACTGCACCTGGCCCAAAAATATATGACTATTGGCTTCTATAGTTACTTATATAGTTATCTTTACCAGAGATCTTTATTTCTTTGTATGGCTTCAAGCTAGATCTGAATGACTCCCTTTGACATTTCTTGTAGGCAGGTCTACCATTAACAAGCTCCCCTCCCATGTTATCTTTATTAGGAATATCTTAATTTCTTCATTTTGGAAGGGTAGTTTTGCCATCTATAGAATTTTTGGCATACCTTTTTTTTCTTTGAACACTTTAAGTGTTATTTATTTATTTATTTATTTATTTGAATCGAGGGTCTCACTTTGTCACTCAGGCTGGAGTACAGGGTGTACCTGGCAAAGTTTTCGTTTGTTTGTTTGTTTTGTAGAAATGAGGTCTTGCTATGTTCCCCAGGCTGTTCTTGAACTCCTGAGCTCAAGTAATCATCCCATCTCAGCCTTCCAAATTGCTGAGATCACATGTGTGAGCCACTACACCCAGCCCTTTCAGCTCTTCAAATATGTCTTCCCACTGACTTCTGGCTTCCATGATTTCTGGTGAGTAATTGGCTCTTAATCTTATTAAGGATCCCTTAACCTTTTGAGCATATTTGAGACCATCATTTTAAAGCCTTTGCCTACTAACTCTAATGTCTGCTCTTTTAAATAAATGATTTGTATCCATTTATTTTTTGCCTTTTTTTTTGAGTTGGAGTCTCACTCTGTCGCCCAGTCTGGTGTGCAGTGGCCGCTCTCAGCCACCGCAGCCTCTATCTGCTGGGCTCCGGCGATCCTTCCACCTCAGTCTCCCAAGTAGCTGGAACTACAGGCGCACACTACCATGCCCAGCTCATTTTTGATTTATTGTAGAGATGAGGTCTCGCCAAGTTGCTCAGGCGGGTCTCGAACCCACGGTCTCAGGCAATCCACTCACCTCAGCCTCCCAAAGGCGCGGGATTACAGGCTGAGCCACAGAGCCCGGCTTTATTTTTTTGCCTTTAAATAGGCCATATCTTCCCTTTTTATGCATATTATGTGATTTTTGTTATTGCTGAAAACTGGACATTGGAATATTATAATGTGGTAACTCTGGAAATCAGAGTGAATGTTGAATGAAGAGAAAGGCAATTTAAACGTGGTAGGAAGTTTGGTGGTATTTTTACATGTCTTTGCTCACTCCCTCCCAGGTGGGGTGGCAACGTGGAAGACAGCTGCCCGTGCTCCCAGCATGGGACACTGTCCCTCGTTCTGGGGGGAGCAGAAAAGCCCTTGTTCACAAATTACTATGTTTCTCTATTCTAACCTGTCTGGGGGCTATCTGAAGGAAGGACTAATGCAAGGTGCTTGTTTCTGTTTTATTGAACTTAAAACTTACTCTGGACAGAAAAGTAGGGGGCATTGCTCTAAGGTGAACAAAAAGCCTGCAACCACCTGGGACAAAAAATTATGATTGAGACATACAATATATTGCCTAACCCTGGGAGAAAAAGCTGGGGTGACTGTCTTAAAATTTTTAAGGCAGACTGGGTTCAGTGGCGCAACCTGTAATCCCAGCACTTTGGGAGGCAGAAGCAAGTGGTTTGCCTGCGCCTGCAGGTTCGAAACCAGCCTGGGCAACTTGGCAAGACCTTGTCTCTACCATAAATCAAAAAAAAAAAAGCTGGGCAGGGTAGTGTGCATATGTAGTTTTGACTACTTCGAAGGATGAGGTGGAAGGATCACTGGAGCCCAGCAGGTCGACGCTGGGGTGGCCGTGAGCATAACACTGCACTCTAGCCTGGGTGATGGAATGAGACTCCAACTCAAAAAAAAAAATGCTACTAACTATAGACTGTTTTTGGTGTACTAGTTGGGGTTCTCCAGAGAAACAAAACCAATAGGAAACACACACACACACACACACACACACACACACACACACAGTGCTAAAAATGTATACACATTTTAAGAAAGGAAGAACTGTATTAAAATTTTAATAATCAATATATACTGATAACAAAAGATTAACACCAACTTCTGAGTGAACATCGTATTACACATTGCTACTGTAATTCATTTCTTCTTTGAAAAAGTAATGCACAGATAACATCTCTTAAAATGTGTATACCTTTTTTTGGCACACAAAAAATGGAATGTGGAATATATATAAAATAATAATTGCCTCACAGTCTTCTGGAGCCCGAGAAGTCTTAAGACCCGGAAGTTGGCAAGTTGGAAACCCAGAGGAGAGCCAGGAGTGTCAGTTCCAGTCTGAAGGAAGGAGAAGACCGATGTTTCGGCTTCAAGACAGGCAGAGAGTGCTAAGTGCAAATTCTCCCTCACTTTGCCTTTTGTTCTATTCAGGCCTTCAACGTATTGGGTTTGGACTACCCATACTAGGGAAGACAGTCTGTTTTACTCAGTCTACCAATTCAAATGTTAATCTCTTCCAGAAAAAAACCTCACAGATACATCCGTAACAATGTTTAACCAAATATCTGGGCACCCCTTGGACCTGTCAAGTTGACACACAAAATTAATCACCACATTCGAATTACTCGTTTTTCCACTGATGCTTCTTTTCTGTTCCAGGATACGATCTAGGATACCATATTGAATTAGAGGTAGCTCTTTCTTGATGAGATTATTCCCCACTGACCATAGCACAGGAAGTTCCATTTCTTTCATTTTTACATTAGAACCTTACTAAACTGATAATATGGTTACCAGTGGCTACCAAGTTTCACTTCTCACATGCTCCCACCACAAGAGAGGAACTGCTTATACTTTCTGCGGCTCAAATTTAAAAATCCTAGAGAAGAATTTTGATGGGCTTGACATGTGACAAATGACTGCCACTAGATCAGTCAGATATGGCAAAGGGAGAAGGGTCCTAGCACCCAACAAGGCTACCGGGGCCCCATACTTGTGAAGCAGAGGTCTTCCCACAGAAGGGAAAATCATTGTAAACTGGGCTGCGACCCCAGCTGAAATCTACCATATTAGCGACCAACCAGCCATTTACGTCATTTCACAGATGAGAAAACTGAAGTCCAAAAAGGTACGTAACTTTCCAGGGGCCCAGAACGAGTGCTTAGTAAAATGAAGG